ATCAGAACAAACATGAGTGAGTAATTAGAGATTTACAGCACAACTACCTGAGCTCTGCACGACTCTCCTCGATTTCTGCTCGCCTGGGAGAAGTTATATCTGCAATACCAACTCCACTTTCAACAGCTCCTCCCATAGAAACAATTTCGGCATTGACTAAGAAAACAGATGTTGGACTGCATCCATAAACTTAGCAGTTCAACAGCCACAGATAATTTCCTCCATCAACACAAGACCACAAAGCAAACTCCAAAATCCTAAAGAACAGAAACAAAATGGCTTAAGGGAGACAACAACAAACCTAAGAAATAGCAAGTGCACCAATCTACTATTATGATTAAGTAAAGGGGTTCATTTTCTATTTGTTCTCTTTGATGTGGAGGGCCAGATTACTAATACTACCAGCCTAAACAGGTCGAGCCAACACCCAAGAACCTTGAATATAATAATGCATACATGTCCAAATACTGAAGTTCCAATGTGCAAATCTGCCAAGTACTTAAACGGCCCTCGGAATCATCAGAACCAGATACGAGTCATTCACCAAGGTAGTGATACAATGTCCAGGAAGAGTTTTGCAGTTAAAAAATTACAGGAGTATGGTTTAAATAGGCAATATGTAAAAAGTACCAATTTTCCAATGCATGAAAATATCAATCAAATAACTTGTCCAGTCCAAAAGGCTGATGCCTATAAAGCCTAAATTTTAAGCATCTCATAGTACCGACAGAGAGTCAAATAGCCCAACTCAGATTAATAAATCTGGGAAATCAGAAAGAAAAACATTAAACTCACAAAAACTAAACAGCTTATCATGGTAGGGCTGCTATTTTAAAAGACTATATCAAGAGAATATACCAGCTTGATACTGCATTGCCTAAACCCCCAGGTCAAGGTTGTTAATTGCTAGGGAGAGCAAACGGATGACAGAGAAGATGGCACGAAAGTTTAGGTTGAAAAAGTATATAACGATGAAATCTAATGGTATTGGAGTATCAACTAAGAAAACACCATGGATAAGCCAATACACAACAGCTCAAAACATAGGAAACTGTACTAACAATATCTCAATATAAACCAAACACAATTAATGCTGACACAATTAAACCATCGATAAGATAATTTATTCATCTTCCAAAGACTACCTAAAACAACATGATCAAAAAAGCCTACTAAAATATCGGCAATTTCAAAATGCTAAACAATTCTGAAGAAGGGCAGAATTATACAAGGACAAGATCAGCATGTCACAATAAGACACATGAGTATTAGCATTGGTATCTTTGCTACTCCGTGAATGGACCTAATTGTATCCTAATACAATATCCAGATGTCCCAACAATGACTAGATGACTTTAGGCAAAGTTCATCAAAATGCCAGGTGCTGTCAAGCAGGCAGAGAAGGGGGTTGCGGCAAAGGACGCCCAAAACTGTCATTTTGAACTCCATGAATGTAGCTAAATAAACTTTCCTACCTACTGGCCTATCTGATCAACTACTACCCACAGAAGAGTATGGCAAACTCAAAAGGTAGTGCTCAGAATAACAGCATGCAAACCAAGACTCTCATGTGATCAAATGCAACCATTACAGAACCTTACAAGCACAACTGGACAGCAGACATCCACTGATAATGTAATCAAAATGCAAGAGAACAATGTTACCACAATTTCCCATCTATTTCCCCAAAATTAAACCCTCAAGTAGACCATAAGAGGTGCAGAAAACTTCTAGGGTTACAGCAAACTTGACCGGAGCTTCAACTTCTAGGTTTTTTTTCGCTGGGAATGCGAGAATAGTACCTCAATTGTGACTAATCACAAACCAATAGACAGACCCCAGCCAATTTTCTCTTAGGTCCAAGAGTTTTGCTTCTGATGCACAAGGTACCTCAACTCAAAGCATATGTTTGCCCTAGATTACGGAAAATTACCATAACCCTAGAGCATGGGCAAAGAGACAAATAAACACATACAAATACGTGCACGTATAGGTCAGTGCCTGTTTTGCTTGTGATTTTGATACAATATGGTGCTTCAGAGTCCTCCCTTCGTGCTCCTTCGTTTCCCCTCTCTCTCTCTCTCTCTCTCTAAAATGGCTGGTAATTTATTTTTCTCTCTCTAAAAAGATTGTAATAAGCAAAAAGGAAAACGAGCGCCAGAAAGTGGGCCGGAGATGCAGATCATTATTTGGGCTTTTGGGCCATCATTTTTTTAATCTCTTGGAAACAGGTCATGATGCTAAATACAATATGATGAAGACCTGAACAATTATGCTCTTTAGTTCATTTTAAGCCCAATTTAAAAATATAAAATTGGCTCGTTCCAACATCATTATTGAACAAAATAAAAAGTGTTTCTCCCTTTTGATTTCTAATGCTCTACTGCAAATTTTTTTTTTTTAATATAATGGTTTATTTGTAGTCTTATTTTGGTATTCTGGGAAAATACTGAACATGGGGCTGTTCGGAATCTATATATAATGTACCAAGACAAGATCAGAATTCAACATTTTTTACTGTCTGACTTGGGAGATTTTGAATACCACCACAACTGTAGCGATGGAAAATAGAGGTTTTGCAGTTGTTTTGTAATTGTTAAGTTGATTTATTTATTATTTTTAACCGAATGAAATACGTCTTTTTATTTTCATGTTCATGTCATATTTTAATGAGATGATTTTTTATTTCATAAATATTCTAGTCATGAATGGTTGGTGGTGATATTTCTTGGCTTATTTCTAAATATATTTCCTTATAGCATCTTCAATGCTCAATGTTGTAGTGGTAAATTATATTTCACATCAACATATTTATTAATATCACAACTTTCCATTCTCCAATGTACAATGTGATTATAAATGTTGTGGTGATGTGGACATAATTAATGTCTACAATGTAGAAAGGAATGTGGTTCATCCACATTCTCTTCCACACTCTAGCTAGCCAATGAAGAGAAGAGAGAGAATTATTATTACTATTTTTATAATATTTAATTATTTAATTAATTTTATTAATTTATATTAAAATTTTAATATTTGGTAAGTAGATAATATTGTATTTAGACTACATTGTGCATTGGAGATGATTTTTTAATTTAATAGTTATGAACTCAACATTTGTCCTACATAGTTCAAAATCTATTTAATATTTGGACATTTGTCAAAATTTTTCCAATAACAACATTAAAGCATTGAAGATGCTCTTAGTATAATTCCTGTTGTGAAATGGATTAGTTTAGTTTGGTAAATGTATTTATGTAACTTCTAGGAATGTTATCGAACTTAACCGAACCGGGCTTAAGGTTTTCGAGCTCGAGTTAGACTAATTTTTCAACATGTTCGTGTTCGTTCTTTTAGTAATCGTACAAAAAAATTTGTTCGTGTTCGTTCGCTTATTAGTTCGACACGTTCGTGTTCGTTCGTTCATATAGTCGAACTTGTTCGTGAATTGTTCGAATTGTTCGACAAGTTCGTGTTCGTGTTTGTTGACTTTTTTTTTAATACCATACAAGTTATTTTATTTAATATTTAATGTATTTCCATATATATATATATATATTATATTTACTTTATTATATACTATATATAATATATAAAATTATAAATTACTTTTTTTGGTGGCCAACGCTCGATAAATTACGAACTTGTTCGTGTTCATTCAATAACTAAACGAGCATAATTTCATGCTCGAGTTCGGATCGATTACTAAATTAACGGACTGTTATCGAACGTGAACGAGCTTTGTTAGCGAACAGTTCGGTTCGATCCGATAACAGGTACTTCCATAAATTTTGAAAATATAAATAGATTTTTTATTTTGTTTCATCAAATCTTGTTACAGAGATGTTAAACAGGCTAGCTCTAGCGGACTTCGAGCTAAACGGTCTATTAAAACTCTTGAATTTAAATGGGCTACTAATAAAGGGAGATAGCCCTAACCTTGCGGGACTTGGGCTAAATTGACTACAATAATAATAATAATAATAATAATAATAATAATAATAATAATAATAATAATAATAATAATAAATTAATCAAAAATATAAAAAAAACCTACAATGGCTAGTTAACAGTTTCATTTTTCAACTGATATTAAGTATTTGACACTCTATATATAATTACACTTCATATATGAGCAAACATTACAAATTTTTAAATAACATTTTTTTTCTCAAAAGAATAAAAATGTTCAAACTATTACGTATAATTACCATTTTACTAGTTATTTTCTACATTTTGAAAATTTTCACGATATTGTATCATACTGCTGAATTTATATTCTATCAATATATTCTATGTGTTATGTATTTGTCTCATGTGTTCCTATTAGCTGTTTTGATTAGGTTAAATATTTTGGTGTGAAGTAGAATAACAAAATTGTTAATAATTATCTTTCAAAATCGCCACAGCTCATAATTACATGTGAAGTAGAATAACAAAATTGTAATATACAAAGAATATTGGGTCATATTCCTTACCGCAAACATTTACACTGCCCAATCCAAGTTAAACGGGCTAGCCCTAGCGGGCTTTGAGCTAAACGGTTCGGGGCCTAAAAAGTCCGGATTTAAACGAGCTACCAATAAAAGGCTATAACTTTTTTTTATTATTTATTTTTTATTTTTTGGCGGAGGTGAGGATGCTTGGATACATAGTTTTTAAACCCGGCCCGAAAATCGACCCGGGCAAGTCTCCGGGTCACCGGTTCAACCGCCGGATCACCGAGTCAATTGCTGAACTAGATAAGTATTTTTGACATATATATATACATAAAAGTAACAAAAATAAATGTTTTGTATATAAAATTTGTTCATCAAAGTGTTAAAAGAATTGTATATCACAATAAATTTATTTTTTATATAAAAAAATATTTAAAAAATAAAAAATATATAGGGACTGGGTCAACCTGGTTGACCCGGCCGACTTATTGACCTCGAGTCGACCAGGTCAAGGCCGGGTTTTGACCGAGTTTGATGTTACCCGGTCCAAATAGCCCACCCCAGACCGGTTCCGGCTCCGGGTCGACCCACCGGGCCGGTCCAGGTTGAAAAACAATGTTTGGATGTAAATTATTTTGATTTTGTTTGGATTTTTTAGTTTGATATGGTTAATTTAGAAAAAAGCGATATGATTAGTTGTTAATAGGATTGTGAGTTTATATTAAAATAATATTTAAAATAGAATAATTAAAGTTGATTTGATGTAAAAGTATGAGAGTGATGATGTAAATTGATGTTTAGTTGAAATTATGTGAGTAGATGAATAGTAAATTAAAATTGATGTAATGTGTAAGAATGATTGAGTGATAATATTTAATTATAATGATAATATTGAGGATATTAAGGTTGAGTTAAAGTTGAATTAGATTTGAGTTAGAAAAAAGTGATTGGATTTATTTTGAAAAAATTTGTATCCAAAGTTCCAAACATGTACATTTGGAATTGGAAAGTTAGAATATAAAAAATAAAATGTTTCAAAAAATCTAATCAACATTTGTGCGTTTTGATATATAAAATTCTCTATCATTCTGGAAAAAGAAATCAACATGTACGCACCACACTACTCTCTGGCTATGCAATCCACCAGGGAACNCAGAAGCGGTACTGTCACGGTTAAATGTTGAAGAAGAAAAATTATCCCGAAGCTAATAAATAATTTAATTGGAAGAAATTAAGGGGGTGATTGTTTATGGATTCAACTAGTTTTTATTTGGTTTATGTTTTAACTATAGTTAATTTTGAAAAAGTGATATGATTAGTTGTTAGTGAATATATTAAAATAATATTTAAATAAAATAATTAAATTTGATTTGATAAAAAGTAGAAGAAAAATGATTGGAAGTGATAGTTAGTTAAAATTTTATGAGTGGATGAATAGTAAATTAAAGTTGACGTGATATGTAAAAATGATTGGTTGATATTATTTAATTATATTGATAATATGGAAGAGAATGGAATTGAATAAAAGTTGAGTTAAATTTGAGTTTTGATTGATTTTTTTTACTCTAGAAATTATAAACAATCACCCCCTAAACTTTCCATATGAAATTACCAATATTATAACAGCTTTCAGCAACTTCAACAGCATATAAATATGAACAGCAGGAAAGACCACTCAGAATCCTACACTACATTATGAAGAACCAACACTCAAATAATACGGAGGTCTCTAGGCGAAATACAAGCACATAATCAGCGTGTGAAAAGGTGTTAAACACTATACTGTCCTCGAAGAACTTCCTTGGCGAGTCCCACAAGCACAAGTTCCGATTCTGAGCTATATTTGTTTCATAGACCAAAATTGCAGGTCTGCACATATTCGTTTTCATAGTCCACATATTTGGTCCAGATAGGCCGGAATTGGGAGATAGCGATATCAAGCCATGGCTTCATATTCCCGTTAAAGTGTATGACAGCAGCATTGTTGATCTCATCCATGCTTATGCTTGGATTATATCCGAGCCCCAAAACATGCCAAGACTTATCTAGTGGTTTGGTCGTGGAGTAGTAGGTGATCAGACCTGGCGGCAGGGTTCCTAGTTTCCAAAGTGTTCGATTCTCATTCTACAAAAGATTGCACATCCAAAATTAGCCTCTCAAGAAATAAGCGTATAGAATAATAATGCAAGCTAGCTTGTCTAGTATAGTATTGGAAATGCAGTGGTTTTAACTATAATAGTATAAATAGTAATGCTTTTCACTAGGAAATGAAATCGGAGATGCATATTGGCTCATTTATGCCTGATTTTTTTTATTATGAAAGGGTAGCAAATAAGATACAAGCATGGCCTGTATTATTCCACTAATATTATCTTGAACAAGCATGGCCTGTATTATTCCACTATTATTATCTTGAACATAAAAGACACTAAGGTTCTTGAGTTCACCAAGACTTGTATGAGGAGTACGATTTATAGTACCTAAAACGGATAAAGTTAAATATTGTATAACAGAAAAAAGACAAATTATTTTGAAGTACGCATTCTCACCAGATTCTGCCAGTAGTGATACTCCTCGGTGCACTTCTCCCTTCTCCACGCATCCAAATCAAAGAAATTCATCCCATAGGCCCACGCACATGCCTTGGGACTAAACCTGGCTTTGATCAGTGGATGTGAGAAATTCATATACTGTGCATATCTGTGAAAGGACCCAAAACACGTCTCGACTGCCCCATTCACCTTTCCATCCATGTCTATCTTCCACAGCCCCGTCAAATCTCTCTGAACAACAATATCATCATCCAAGAACAAAATCTTGTGCAGCTTAGGATACATCTCCGGCAAATAAAACCTGAGATGGTTCAAAATCGACAGATACTTTGGGTTCCTGAACTTCATATTCGTCGTATCTTTTGTCGCGTTCTCGAGCTTATTCTCAAAGTAAAACTGCTGCAGCTTAGCAGACTCGAGCTGTTTCAGCACCGGAACATATGAGGAGTTGAGAAACTTATAATCCTCCACAGCTTTCACCTCAATATGGGCACCACTGTAATCCCTCATCTTAAACATCACCTGCATGGCCCCGAGATTCATCTTATCTGTCACCACATGGAAAACATGCTTCCATGGCTCCTTTGTGTTTTTAACGGCAGAGTTCACCACAACTGAGGCCGCTATCACATTATCAGAAAATATTGCATAATGATAAAGCTTTGGGTCCTCTATCTCAGGTTTAGGTGGGTTCCCTTCATCCGAGTACTTCTCAGGATGAGCAATTCTTTCCTCCATTAACCTCAGAGCAAGGCAGTGCAGGCTCTTGGGAATCGACTTTGCTGCAATCAAGCTCGAAAAAGCACCCTGTTTTTTGGCTTTTGTGAGCTGTTCATTCAGAGCAAAGATGGTGTCCTTCAGCTTGTGAATTTTCAGTTGGTTGTCGAAAGATTCTTTGGCCTCAGCAATCACTTGTCGAGTGAGCTTAATTTGTTCCTTGACCTCCTTCTCAAACTGCCTCAGCACTGACTCGTCAATCGAGTTTGCATCGGAATCGAACTGCTCTCTGTATGAAGGTCTCGAGATTAGGTCAGTGTAATTTCGAGAGAGTTCGGCGAAAATCCTCACGAGCTTTGAGTTTTCGAGCTTCAGCTTCCGTGCGTAGGAAGCATAAGCTAAGGCTAAATTTCTGTGGTCGTCAGCTTGTTTTCGGATCTGATCTAAACGTGGTTTCAAAGGATCTGACTTTAATGCTAAAATTGACCTACGAGGAGATGATGGCTGGGATCCAGAAAATCCAAACGATAAACCCTAATATTGAACATGATGAAAAGGAGAAAATTAGAGCATTAGCTTCAAAGAAGTAACAATTAATGTGGATTGAAACCAAACTCTCGTAAATAAATCCAAGAATACAGAGTATGCGATCTGAATGATTGAGGAAAATTAAAGTAAATACAGCATTAACTGTACGAATAAGGGAGAAAAATAAGAAACCCTTCCCAATCAGCATAATAAACCGTAAATGCGCCTTGACATGTAAAAGAAAAAAAAAAATCGTTCAGCCTATCATCCTACTTCATAGTTAATAATGTCTGAGCACATTACAAATTTGTACAGGGAATTCAAGCCGATTAACTAAAACCAGAATCTTGAGGACAGAAGGAAAACATCAACAATTTAAGAACTCACGGATTTGAGATCGGTGGGATTGAAGGAGGCGGCGAAGAAAAATGAGACAGTGAGGAAAATCGAGACGGCGATCGTAAAAAATCCGGCGGAGTATCTGAATCTGGACTTGGTTCCCCGGAATGATTGCCCGAATACCCGATCCGACGCCGCATTCTTGTGGATCCGACCCGAATTCGGAGCCATTGCCTGCCTCTCTAAACACCCGGAGAGTGTGTGTGTGTGTGTTGTGTTTTATTTTAGTGAGTAGGCTGGGGACTGAGAATATGTTTAGCCGGCCATTATTACCGTGCGACGGAGACTTTTGTATGTGCATTAGCGTATTGTACACCGATAAGTTAAAACTTTATAGATCGGTCTTCGATGTACAACTCGTTTTGAGAAATATACGCGGTCCCTTGCAGGCTTGCAGCTGGTGCGCCTTCCTAGTCGGTGATTATCATGTGCTTAATTATTCGAAAATGATGCATTTAATGAGCATTTGATAGTGTGTTATATTCAGTTTTGCTATGAAGACACACTTGACTTCAATTTCATAGTGGAACCAACTTCTATATAAACAAGTAAATTATATTACCTCCTATTTTTTTCAAATTTCATTTTGGCTTTATTAACTATTAACAAAATAAATGTCATTTTATATCTTTTGTACATATTTTTCCATTATTGTCCTTATTTAGCTAATAAATACACTACGTCTTTTCATATTCACTCTTCATTTTTTCCCAAAACATCATTCTCTATCTTCATTAAAGAGGGTTATTATTGGCAAAAAAATATTCTTAATCACTGTGCAACTTCTTAAAACGACACTTATTATGAATAGGAGGAGTATTATATCCTTTGATTACTTAAATTAGTATTATGGTATGGTTTACTTGTGACATATAGAAGGTTGGCTCCACCATGGAGCCAACTGTTGGATTCATAGCAAAACTGGTATTATAAAATGAGGGAAATGTTTCCCTACCCACGGTTAATATGCCCACCAACTTATGTGGCATGCACACATTGGTGATTTAATAATACATCACCAATGTGTGCATGCCACATAAGCAGTGGGCATATTAACATGTGTCAACCGTAGGTAGGGGATCATTTCTGTATAAAATGATAGGCTACTCTATTTGTTAATATTTATATGAATAAGTTTGTGATTAAGCAGCCAGTTATTTATTTAAGTTTGTGATCTGCTTATAAATATAGTTATACTAATACAATACTTGTATATTACATTAGTGTTAAATTAAAAAAACACGTATAATAAATATTAAAAATGTTATTTTAAAAGTTCTTGAAAATAATCTAATTTTATATAAACATCACTTGTATTTCAATTAAATTGGCAATATAT